CGAGCCACTTTGCTGAACTTGTAGTCTGAAGCGTCCAACACCTTGTCATCCTATCCTCACTTCTGGAGCCAGATTAAGTCAGAATCAGAGACTCAGAGCAAGTCAGTCTAAGAGAATAACGAATCTTCCCTCGAAATAATAAACTCCTCAGGCTCCTATTTGGGACAGTGAGATTTGGCCAGCGCTGTGCATGGAACCCAACCACAACCAAAATAATAAAAACCATGGAAGGTAAAGTTTTCCCTCACCAGAGCACTGGAGGATGGCGTTAGCTGGGAGGCCATGAGGAGAGCCGCGTGGCACGAGCTAGGAGGCCGCGAGCTGAGCCAGGTTGCGTGAGCCGGGATGCCGCGAGGCCGCAAACTGTACTGCATCGAGCCACTTTGCTGAACTTGTAGTCTGAAGCGTCCAACACCTTGTCATCCTGTCCTCTCTTCTGGAGCCAGATTCAGTCAGAATCAGAGACTCAGGGCAAGTCAGTCTAAGAGAATAACGAATCTTCCCTCGAAATAATAAACTCCTCAGGCTCCTATTTGGGACAGTGAGATTTGGCCAGCGCTGTGCATGGAACCCAACCACAACCAAAATAATAAAAACCATGGAAGGTAAAGTTTTCCCTCACCAGAGCACTGGAGGATGGCGTTAGCTGGGAGGCCATGAGGAGAGCCGCGTGGCACGAGCTAGGAGGCCGCGAGCTGAGCCAGGTTGCGTGAGCCGGGATGCCGCGAGGCCGCAAACTGTACTGCATCGAGCCACTTTGCTGAACTTGTAGTCTGAAGCGTCCAACACCTTGTCATCCTGTCCTCTCTTCTGGAGCCAGATTCAGTCAGAATCAGAGACTCAGGGCAAGTCAGTCTAAGAGAATAACGAATCTTCCCTCGAAATAATAAAGTCCTCAGGCTCCTATTTGGGACAGTGAGATTTGGCCAGCGCTGTGCACGGAACCCAACCACAACCAAAATAATAAAAACCATGGAAGGTAAAGTTTTTCCTCACCAGAGCACTCGAGGATGGCGTTAGCTGGGTGGCCAGGAGCAGAGCCGCGTGGCACGAGCTAGGAGGCCGCAAGCTGAGCCGCGTTGCGTGAGCCGGGATGCCGCGAGCTGAGCCGCGTGGCGCGAGCTGGGAGGCCATGGGCTGAGCTGTGCGTCGTGAGCTAGGAAGCCGTGAACTGAGAGGCCACGAGCTGAGCCGCGTCCCGCGAGCTGTGATGCCACGAGCTGAGCCGCGTGCCGTGAGCTAGGAGGCAGCGAGCTGAGCCACGTCCCACGAGTTAGGAAGCCGTGAGCTCAGCCGTGTCCTGCGAGCCAAGAGGCCGCATTCTGTACCGCATCGAGCCACTTTGCTGAACTTGTAGTCTGAAGCGTCCAACACCTTGTCATCTTGTCCTCTCTTCTGGAGCCAGATTCAGTCAGAATCAGAGACTCAGAGCAAGTCAGTCTAAGAGAATAACGAATCTTCCCTCGAAATAATAAACTCCTCAGGCTCCTTTTTGGGACAGTGAGATTTGGCCAGCGCTATGCATTGAACCCAACCACAACCTAAATAATAAAAACCATGGAAGGTAAAGTTTTCCCTCACCAGAGCACTCGAGGATGCCGCGAGCTGAGCCGCATGGCGCGAGCTGGGAGGCCATGGGCGGAGCTGCGTGTCGTGAGCTAGCAAGCCGTGAGCTGAGAGGCCACGAGCTGAGCCGCGTCCCGAGAGCTTGGAGGCAGCGAGCTGAGCCACGTCCCACGAGCTGTGATGACACGAGCTGAGCCGCGTCCCGTGAGCTAGGAGGCAGCGAGCTGAGCTACGTCTCACGAGTTAGGAAGCCGTGAGCTCAGCCTTGTCCCGTGAGCCAGGAGGCTGCAAACTGTACCGCATCGAACCAATTTGCTGAACTTGTAGTCTGAAGCGTCCAACACCTTGTCATCCTATCCTCTCTTCTGGAGCCAGATTCAGTCAGAGTCAGATACTCAGAGCAAGTCATACTAAGTGAATAACGAATCTTCCCTCAAAATAATAAACTCCTCAGGCTCCTTTTTGGGACAGTGAGATTTGGCCTGCACTGTGCATGGAACCCAACCACAACCAAACTGATAAAAACCCTGGAAGGTAAAGTTTTCCCTCTCCAGAGTACTCGAGGATGGCATGAGCTGGGAGGCTGCAGCCAGACCAGGGAGGAGAATGAGGAGGTGTGGCTGAAATGATGGGCAAGACGTGACAGTTTTGGCTGACAATTTTTTGGTTTTATTATAGTGGAGTTTGGCCAACAGTTGGCATTAGGGATGTGGTTATGGTTTTTATTATAGGTAATGTGTAGTTAGGTGACAGCAAGAATTATGGTTTGGTTTGCCATTATATTTAGAGTAAGTTTTGAAATTAGACTGGGCTGGTGTGGGACTGGGCTTAGAACTAGGCATGAAGGTTAGGGGTGGGTTAGTTTCTTATGGGGCCTCATCAAGTTTTTTTTTCCTTCTATTTAGCTGCAAACAAAAATATCAAACATACTACAATATAAGGAATAGCACAAATATCAGATAGCATGGAAACTCTGGGGGGAAGAAAACAAGAAATATATAAAGATATTAGCACTATTAACAATAATACGACAATTATTAAAATAAAATACAATGCAAACACCTCACATACTTATAGTTATTTTGTATAAATTAAGGTCAAGTCACAT